GGTTTATCAACGATGCCAGGCCTTGTACGGTCTTAAACCTTTACGCTCGATGGAGCAAAGTTATTCCTTTTAAAACAGTTTTAGTCGAATAAGAAAACAGGATTCCTGTTTTTTATAACCTAATGTTTCATATTTGCAGGAGTACGACCATGTCAACTGAAGAAAGATATAAGTTGGTGGTCGTGGGGGGTGGAGGTGTGGGGAAAAGCGCCCTGACTATTCAGTTCATTCAGGTAAGTGTATTTTTGAGGACTTTTTGTATGAAATAAAGATGTATTTATGGCGCAATATTGGGCAAATATGCGCTGTGGGTGTGTTGTAAGAGTTGTGTGAAGTTCACAGTGCAGTGGGCTTTCCTCAGCATGTTCCTTCCAGTGTTGACAACTAATTTTCAGAGAAAGTTGCTAAAGTAAGGTCGATTTGTTGCTAAACGACGTTATGATGTCATTGCGCGATGACGTCATTGCATAATCACAACACAAAATTGTGTCACAAAATGAAATCTCAGCAAAAAAGATATTGTATATATTAATTTAGATTTGTTTGTAAAATAATATGCATAATATAATATTAAAATATAAATAACTGTATTTTTAAATACATTGAATTATGGAACACTTACACATTTTGGAATGGTTACAATTTAAGTTTTTTTTTAAATAGCTAGTAAACTAGTAATACTACACATTCTCAACAATTATGCTTTAAGCAGTGTATTAGTAGTTAGTTAGTATGCTACACTCTAAGAAAAGTGAGGTCTGTAAAAATAGGGCACAATCTACTATGTTAATATGAAAGAATTTTCCGTATTGGTTTTTTACCTGCATTTGAAATTACACATTGTGTTTTCAGGTTACAATGGATAGTGTCCTGGAAAATTACTAGTATCTTTTCCATTTTCCATTTTTCTTACAGTGTACTAACTAACTTATCAGCAATCGCAGGTACAAGCTACTAACAAAGTGTATCATAAATGAACAATTGTTCAATTATTATTATATTAAATTGAACAATTGAAAATAGCAGCTAACTCAATACACATGATGTGTGTACTGCTAGGCATCTGTGGTTTCCTCTTTTTGTGTAATTTGGATGGAAAATGTGGGCCTTTTTCAAAACTTATCAAGTCACTTATCAAAAGTTGCCAAGTAAATTTTAAAATGTAAAAGTTTGTTGCTAAGTGCTTTTGGAAGAAAAGGTTGCTAGGGTAGTCTGAAAAGTTGCTAAATTTAGCAACAAAATTGCTAAGTTGGCAGCACTGGTTCCTTCATGTTAAAGCCCTTGTTGAGGAGCTGGTGAACAACCACAATGTTTTCTTTGTTTTCTTTCGCAGTCATACTTTGTGTCGGACTATGACCCAACCATTGAAGACTCGTACACTAAAATCTGCACCGTGGATGGAAAGGAGACACGATTAGACAGTATGTTGGAATTAATGTGTTCTTTATAGACTCATAGAATGAGTGTTAAAAAGCTCCACAGGTTCCCTCAGAAGGGAGATTTTGGTCAGAGTTGCATCAGTATGATTCATTGCAGACTACGGGTTCCTGCCCAGGTTTTGTTTTGACTTGCTGTCAGTACGACATCATGCCAGCTGTGCTTAAAGCAAACTTTGTGTGTCAGTCAGTTATGAATTGCATTTGGGCACCACAAAATGTTATTTGTTTGTGTGGATGAGCTCATCTTTCATATTCTCCTTTATTCATTTGTGTTATTGTGTCATTCGCCTGTTCATTAGTCCTCGACACAGCAGGGCAAGAAGAGTTTGGAGCGATGAGAGAGCAGTACATGCGCTCCGGAGAGGGTTTCTTACTGGTGTTTGCTCTTAATGACAGTGGCAGGTAGGTGTTTTCCAGAGTGTGTTTGTGTCTGTGTGTGTGAGAGGAAGGGGAATAAATAGTTCCTAACCTTTCTGTGTGACGAGAACAGAGAGTGTGTGTATGTGGCCGTGTGTGTTTTAAAAAAGAAACCACAGAATGTGTTTGTGATGAGAATAAGAGTGCTATGAGTGCTCATGTTATCAGGTGAACCTCAACAGATGAACTGAGCCTATTTGTATGGCGAGTATAAATGTAGAAGTTTCTTACAGATGTGACTTGGACTGTGTTTTCCATATTTTCTATGTAAATATTGTACCGTTGTAAACTGCAATCAATTATTCAGCCTCCGGAGTTAAGAAGATTTTTAATATATAATTTTTTCTTCAGTGAAATTCTTTATTTTCAGTTTAGTTTTAGTTAGTTTTCCGTGTCATTGTTTGTTTTCATTACATTTTTTAAGTTTTTGTATTTTAAGACTGACATAATGTGCTAACTGGTATAATTTTACAAATATTAAATGCTGTTAAAATTCTTAGCACAGTCTTTTGTTATTGATGTTTAGTGACATTTTTATGTTTAATGAGAACGTTTTAGAATATAACATGTTATCAAACTTAAAACTAGAACTAAATTGTTTAAATTTAATTTGCCATTTGTTTTCGTTTCTGAGTCTTCAGTTTTTACTAGTTGTTTTCAATTATCTAGTTATTTTTATATCAGTTCAGGAAAATATTTCATGTAATTTTTGTTAGCAGTAATAACACTCATAAAAGAGATTTATTTGTAATATTTGTCAATTTTAATTTTACAGGCTACTATCCAAGATGAGTTCAATTATAATGACATTCTATGATCTCTGTATTATTTTATATTATTTTTGTGTTCGTCGAGCAAAATCTTGTCACTCTAATGAACACTTTCTCTCTGTTTCAGTTATGATGAAATTCAGAAATTTCACACTCAGATATTGCGGGTGAAGGATCGAGATGACTTTCCTATGGTTCTTGTTGGCAACAAATCAGATCTTGACCAGCAGAGAGTTGTAACGTTTCCGTGTTTCACAAATGACTGATTTTTTTATGAAAAACCCTAGATAGGCTGCCAATTCATATGTATGTGTTTTTCAACTAGATCTCAAGAGATGAGGCCATGTCGTTTGCCCGGGAAAACAGGATCCACTATATGGAATCGTCAGCTAAGAACCGCCACAATGTGGATGAAGCCTTCATGGAGGTTGTGCGAGCAATAAGGTATTTGGAATAGAAAAGCGCTCTTATGAGATTGACAATGTAGTGCATTGTGATAAACTCGCATTACCGTCTGTCTTCAGGAAGTTTCAGGAGACAGAGAGCCCACCGCTCCCCGCTAATCACGCGAGGAAGCAGAAGAGTGGTGGCTGTCCCTGCCCCCTGCTCTGACTGCCCCTCTGCACTGTTGCCTAGGAGACTGAAGCCCTCACTCTCACGCCTGGTGCCTTATATGTCTACACGGAGTGTGTGTGTGTGGCACTGTATGCATCAGTGTTTTAGTGGCTTTTACAGTATGTATGTAAGAACTGGTTTCCTAGAAGAAACTAGGCAATATCAAATGAGAGCGAACCGTGAATCTGTTGGAAAGAGGGAGTTCTTGTTTCGTCCACATGTTTTATTTAGTGCCTTGTAAAATCATGCTCTTGATTATAGTTTCAAGCCCAGTATTTGTTTATTTCCACCACAGTATGAGATCGCAGACTGATTGTGTACCACGAAAGAGATTTCAAAAAAATATATAAAATCACCACTGAGGTGGTGAACAGTAGCGGCAATGTGTATTTAAACAACCACATAAGCGAACATAGGCGGTGCTGACAAAGCTTTTTGATGGTTCTTATGTCATATGTATGTCATATATTGGGTTACTGACTCAAAAAGATAAGTCAGACAGTATTTTATTGGCCCAGTGCTCTGTTCAGCCTGTCTTCTCTCGGGAGATTCATTGAGTCAGTGAGACTGCACTGAAATGGCTGCTCTAGTCTACACCTTGCTTCCCATCAGTGGCAAGAATATATTCAGCCAGCTTGTTTTCATTAATCTCTTCCTGATAAAGCAATGTGGGATGACTGAGACGTGATGTGGTTTTAATAATTGAGTATTTTTAGTAGTGTCGAAACAATGGGTCCAGTATCTGCAATGCTAGTATTCATACAAACCAAAGGCTATAATGTACATGTTTGCACACCTAGCTTTGTCATCGTGAATAGTTACCTAATGTAGTTTAACACTAAAATGGACAAATTGTGTGGTTTTATTTTGGGATTATTTTGATCTGTTTCTTTTGTTTCAGTTTCGATTTGATATATTTTTGAAGGTACTTCTATTTGTGCATATATGCAGAATAATCTATATGATATGCTTGTGATTTTTGCACCTTCGTTCTTGGACAGTGATGAAAAAGTGATACAGAGGAATTGCCAAATTAATTTACCAACAAAGCATGATATTAATCAGTGTTGTAAGGGAATGAGTCACTCTGTAAATAGGTAGAACGGCCTAGTTTAGGGTGAGGAAAAACAAGACTAGGTGCTTTTCCTTAGTCACACTATAGCAGTTCATACGGTATACTTGTCTCTAGAGGGAGTTGCTACACACTTTACAGCCTTTAATCAAGGGACATGGATTTTTTTTTTTTTTCAAACTGTGACAAATTCTGTTGTGGATCAGGTTTGTCGGCTGCAAATAAGAACAAAGCACTATTTAATTTTTAATGTTAAACAGAATTACACAATGTGGTAACAGGATGATTCTCATTCATATAATTTCAATATAATTTCATGTCTTAAGTCTGATTATTTCAGTTTTTTATTTAAGCTGTGTTTTTTTTGGCTCTGGAGAAATATCAGACACCATTTATTTTCCAATTTTGTATCTAAATCTAACAATACGCAATTAAAATGTGTCTTAACCATTTCTTGTAAGACTTTATGGGTGACTGATTTATTGTCGAGTGATTCATTTTAAAAGTATTTAAAACAGTTTTCACACGTTAACGTTCTTTGGCTTCAGAGGAATAAGCTGAGGAATGAGGAAGTAAAGTAATAAAAAAATTATTTTAAACTTTATTCTTTATGAATGAAGTATAAATAAATGAATGTTTTGTATTATTTCCTACTGACAATTTAGCTGTATGTACATTTTATTCATCTCTATTTGTAATTCACACTCAACTCTTATTGGCGCATAACAATCAGATAAGAGAACTACTGCGCATTACAAGCAATTGTTGCTAAATGATGTGAGAGGGAACATTTTCAATCGCTGGGAGGGAATCAACAGCACGGCGAGATTCTGAATTTGACATATTAGCAGCATGGCGTCGTTTTCTCACTAAATTTGAGTGTGGTAACGTTGTGAACGCACTGACAGATTCCTCACGTTTTAACGCGATAATATAAGACAAATATCACGTCTATATGACTGACTTTCGTTACTTAAAAGCTGTTGTCAGGTCGGCTCTTGCTAATAAGGAAAGGGGCCCATTCATAACTATGTTTGAAAAGGAAGGTTGATCCAATCAAGGCGCACTGGCGCAGTTGAAACCGGAAGCTGTTGAAGATGCACTTTGGAGCGTTGTTTGTTTTAAATGACAGATGATGAATGACATTTTTGAACATTAAACAGATATATGCAGCCCTTAGATACAGCATTGAAACTTACAGATATTAATGGTTTTTCGTAATGGGGCGATTAAAGCACCTTTGTTTATTGCTGTGTTCAGGTAATTCACCGAAACTCCGTCACATCCCACTGCCACTCCTACAAATGCTCGCGGCTGTGAACTATGTTGTCAAACTGGTATGCCTCGTACCTGATGAGTTAAGATGTCGCTGTGAATGCGAACACAGGTGAATATGGAAGAATTTTAATTAAAAACATCGAACATGTATATTCTGTGTATTCGAACTGTTTATCTATAGCCATAATTTACAGCATCAAGGCAGGAAATCTCTGGAGAAATCTGAAAGTATTAAGTGGTTAAAGTTTCCTTCTACGGAGCACAAAAGAGTGTCAAGGTAAGCGGGCGGTGACCCATGTCGTTTTTCTTTAGACGCAGTTTTGCTTTCTTTTCTACTTTCTGTCGAGCGTTTTGTGGTACAGCTTGTTTTCTAAATGAATGGGCAGATAGGCACTATTTACTTTACTTAAAAATACAAAAATATTGAGTCATTCCCTCGTGTTGCCAATCTTTTGTCAGAGTGTGGTCCATTTAAGTTGCAGTGTTGAAACTAAGATATTAAACGGATATATTATGTATAGGTTGTATATCTTTTTCTTAATATAAAAGAAATAATATTTGCTTTTGTGTAAGTGAAATGACCGATAGAGGACGACATTGTAAAAGCCTTTTCTGTATTATTCAATATTTTTGTGAGTTGTCAATTGAGTTGTGTATATTTCCTCTAGGCCTATATGGATTTATCAAAACATAGCCTGTTAATCTTTGTAATATTATTTTATATTATTTTGAACAGGTACAATGCTGGGATTTCCAGCGATATGTTTCAGCTTGATATCCCTGCTGCATCTTGTTTGGGGCAGAGTGATCTACAATAGAAATGATGGTAAATGATAAACTTTAAAACGCTTTTTAATAGCCAGTGTTTGAAATTCTTTGGGTTTATCTTTTATTGTTGCTAATTATTTAGTATTATGGTGTGTTTTTTTGGTTGGTTTACCTCCCTATGCACTCATTCAAATCAAGGACTTAAGACCTCTTAGATCTCATTTACATTAGACTTTTAGCTGTACTGCAAACATTGGTAGGTTTCATACTCTGAATGCAACATCATTAATTAATTTTTATTTATTTATTTTAATGCTTTGTATTTTTAACTATATGTCTTTGTGGATAGCTGCCATTTCATTACCATTCCTGCATATTGTACTGTTCCTTGTGTCTGTAAAAAGTATGTTGTGTGAAGCTGATTCTCATTATGATTCATATTCTCTTGTGTTCCTCAGTGTTCCTAGAAGAGAAGTCAGCAGGTTCGTTTCTCTCCCGTAAACTGTTGTATAACAGTTGGGATTTTGAGTTACTGGTGCCTGACAATCTACAGAGAGAATGCATGGAGGAAATATGTTCATATGAAGAGGCCAGAGAGGTGTTTGAAGATGACATACAGACGGTAAGAAAAAGAGTCTATACCAGAGAAAGTGAACACAACGGAAGCATGTTATAGCCAAAAAAAAAAGATGGTTTATGCACAGTTACTTGATGCTATTTATTTTGTTTTCCAACAGGCCAAGTTTTGGGAAGGCTATGTCAACAAGTGCTGCCTAGTTCCTCTAAACCGGAGTGTACCGCCGGCGGACGTCCCCTAGCGAAGAAAAAAATAATAATCATATTTTTCAAAATCACTGCATTGATCAACACAAAATAGGTGTAATTTGAAAGCTTGGAGTCTGAGCTTTACAATGCATGTAGCCACTTTGATCTCCAAAGTAGTGCCGAGTTATTTGCTGATAAATGACAAACAATGTTTTTGTGCCATTTCATACAGCTCGGATAGTCATGTGTCATATGTCATTTGAAAGGTCTCATCGAGTAGAATAAAACAAGTATAATTGTTTGGGGCTTTGACTAAACTTGAGTGAGGCATTACTTCAAATTCAAAACAACAATTTCAAAACGGTAAAGGGCTAAGAGAAAGGCTACCTTGGTTTCAAATGCTGTAAATTTTGATTACTTCATGAGATCACCATAAAATTTAAGTCACATACAGCACACATGTTGGGGAACATCAGCAAAAAGAATTCTCCTACCTTATTTCTTTCATGAGATATTGAATGTCAAATAAGAACATGAAAAATTTCCCTTGACCACACTAATTTTTCTTACATTTTATCACCTATTTCTCAACATGAGGATATTAAAATGCAAAGACCCCCCACCCCCCTAAAAATATAGAAAAATTTCTATCAGACGATATCTACCTTTTGACTCTCCTTGCTACGGTCTTGGAGTTATGACTCATTATTTTTGTGTATGGCACTCAGAAAACAACAGTTTTTAAAATGCCTTCAGGGAGTCAAGAACTAAACAAAAAGGCCTATTTTGCTACAAAATACTGTAACTTTTGGATACTTTATGCTATCACCACAATTTGAAAAAGATACAGCTAACATGCTGGGGAACATCATCAAAAAATAATTTTCCTCCTACCTTATTTCTGTCCTGAGATATTGAATGTCAAATAGGACATGAAAAATTTCTCTTTAGCCCTCAAATTTTTCTTACATTTTTATCAGCTATTTCTCAGCAGGAGGAACGTCCAAATGAAATCATTTTTCCACTGAAAGTACAGAAAGTTTTCTATCAAACGATACCAACCTTTTGACTGTCCTTGCTACAGTGTTCGAGTTATGAGTCATTATTTTTGTGTATGTCACTCAGGAAAAAAAACATCAACTTCAGTGAGGCAAAAATGCCATCAGGGCTTAAAGGGTTAATGTATTTTCCATTTTATAGATATAGTTAAAGATATGGACATTGAACATTTTGAATACATTTTCAAATAAAAATGACAACTTAAAGTCTCATTCTTAGTCTTATTGCACTGAAGCAAGCAGCCTTCACTCTTAAAATGGTGGTTCTGACACTGCTTTTGGAACCTTTATTTTTAAGATTGATGTCTAGCTAGCTGTCATCATAGCATAAGCAAATGCAAACTACAAATATTCTTAGGTATTTGTTATTCTCAGACCCTAGACCTGGGATGTAACACAGTGTTTTCAATATTTTATCCAAAAAGGAAAAACGGGATCACTAAATAAACAATTAAAATGTGTATTTGTTGAGAATGATGACCTGATTGTTTCCTACAGAGTCTTCATCCCCAGTTGATGTGTCTGGTTTGGTAGCTGGCATTGTGGCTATTGTAATAACAGCGATTATAGCCACTGTGTTGGGCATTTATTGCTACAAGAACAGAGGCAAAAATTCAAGAGGGGCCAGGTAAGTGCATGCCATCATTACCACAGCTATATATATATATGCCCTTTATGCAGCAATAACACACTAATTTTTTCTGCATCTTCACAGTGTTCCTGTGCGTATAGGTGTAGATGGGCAGCCAATACCGGAGTCTGTGCCCTTGGCTAACAGGGCTCCAGGTCTCCCCTCGTACAATGAGGCTCTGACCCACAGCGGCCAGCATGATGCACCTCCACCGCCGTACTCTGGGTAAGAGCACTGAACGGCTTGTTTGTACATCGTAAACAAAAGCGATGCAGTGCCTGCTATAAAATTATTTTGGCTGCATGTTCAAAATGTGTTTTAAAATATGCATCTTTGCTCTTTACAGGGGAAGTCCACCCGAGCCACCACAAACTCAAGAAGAGGAATAACAAAGACATGATGATGTTGTTGTTGTTGTTGTTGTTTTTAAATGGGGGAGGGGAGAGGGGTGATACAGGGTTTTACTGGTGAAAAAGTGCAGCTTCAGTCAGTAGATAATTTATTATACTTATGCTACGTGTTCAGCAGTTAACCCTATTTTATTCTTTAGAATTATTTTGCTACTATCATCATGGAACACAGTTTCGGTGTGAATGCTGTCAATATTTTCATGAATCAGATTTGTTCATTTTTAAAAAAAAGTTTTATCAAATGGAATTTAATTTTCATTATTAATAAAAGAAATAAAATGTAGCCAAACTTGAATTTGATTGCTACTTCGACTGCGTGACGCTTAAATCGATACCAGCATTTAGTCGCTGTTGTCACTCATCTTTTACAGTCTCAGTGTGCACCGCTGTGCACAGACCATACTAGAGAGAGCGTCCCATACTCAGTAGTGCCTCTGTGCTGTAACAAGGCGGCAGTACGCACGAGACTTCCAGACAGACTGCGTATGTGTGAGAGTGTGACAAGCGAGTCGGCAGAGGGGGGCGTGTGTGGATATGTTTATGTGTGTGAGCCTGTTAGTCCACTCTCTTAAAAATGGCGCCTTCTTGGCTAAATACCTGAAAATAGCGATTTGAATCCCGTGGGTTGGTAGCATTTATATGAGGTATTGAAGCATGACACTGGTCCCTTGCATAATTTTTAGAAACTTTGCGGATTTTAATGAACCTAACAAGACACTTTGTTTCTGACGAGGAGGTAGCTTACCATCCCGCGTATATTTATCCATGATGTAAATATTTGGGGCGCAACAGCTGCATAAAAAAGAAAACGCGCGCTCGATTGACTATTTATAGAGACCTAGTATCTCACCTTTTTGTGGCAATGCAGTACGCGAACAACTAAGAGGAAATGGGCTACAATCAAGCACGTGTCGTGGGTGTAACAAGCAATGGCATCAGAATTAGACATGCAGTGCATCAGCCGCGTTGCTGTTTCTGCTACGAAGGACAATAGGCATCGAGATATATAAGAGGGCAAAAGAGGGGAGGGGAGGGAGAAACAGGATTTTTTGTGGTGGCGGTGGTTGGTGTAATACTTCACCCCCCCTGTATCCTCCATCTCCCCCTCCTCCTCGTTCTCCTCCCTCCATTCCTCTCCCCCTCTGTGCTGGTCCTATTCTTGAGGACTTGCTTGTGAAACGGGAGAGATAAACAGACATTGAGCGCATATGAAAAAAGACACGGGGAGAGATAGTGTGTTAGAATTTAGGAAATACCTCCCTCCCCTTCCCCCTGTCTATCTCTCCATCTTCACCCCTTGTCTCTTCTTTAATGGATAGAAATTATCCTGGCACAGGATTCGGTGATCTGGGTCATACAATGAGGCTCTGACCCACAGTGGCCAGCATGATGCACCTCCACCGCCATACTCTGGGTAAGAGCTCTGAACGGCTTGTTTGTATATCGTATACATAAGCGATGCAGTGCCTGCTGGAAAATTATTTTGCGCTGCATGTTCAAAATGTGTTTTAAAATATGCATCTTTGCTCTTTACAGGGGAAGTCCATCTGAGCCACCTCAAACTCGAGATGAGGAATGACAAAGACATGTTGTTGTTGTTGTTTTTTAAATGGGGGGAGGGGAGAGGTGATACAGGGTTTTACTAGTGAAAAAGTGTAGCTTCAGTCACTAAGTGGGTAATTTATTATACTAAGGCTACATGTTCCGCAGTACCCTATTTTATTCTTTAGAATTATTTTGCTACTATCATCATGGAACATAGTGTCAGTGTGAATACTGTCAATATTTTCATAAATCAGGTTTGCTAGTTTTTTTTTTTTAAAGAGTTTTATTAAATGTACTGTAATTGTCATTATTAATAAAATAAAATGTAGACAAACTTGAATTTGATTTGCTAATTCGACTGTGTGAAGCAACAGCGCGCGTGACGCTTAAATCGATTCCAGTATTTGCCATTAGTCGCTGTTGTCACTCATCGTCGCCTGTCTTTCACAGGATCAGTGCGCACCGCCACAGACCGTACTAGTGAAAGCGTCCGATACTCAGCTGTGCCTCTGTGCCGTAACAAGGCGGCAGTACGCACGAGACTTCCACAGACTGCGTATGTGTGAGAGTGTGACAAGCGATTCGGCAGAGGGGGAGGCGTGTGTGTGTGTGCGCCTGTTAGTCCACTCATAAAAAATGGCGTCGTCTTGGCTAGATACCTGAAAATAGCGATTTTAAATCCCGGGCGTTGTAGCGTTTATGTAAGGCATTGAAGCATTACACTAGCCCCTTGTATTATTCTTATAAACTTTAAGGATTTAAATTAACCTAGGCACAACAAGCCACTTTGTTTCTGACGAGGAGGTACCATCCCGTGTATATCCATAATGTAAATATTTGGGGCGCAACAGCTGAAAAAACGCGCGCTCGGTTTACTATTTATAGAGACCTAGTATCTCACCTTTTTATGGCAATGCAGTACGCGAACAACTGAGGAAATGGGGTACAATCAAGCACGTGTCGTACGTCTCGGGTGTAACAAGCAATGGCATCAGAATTCGACATGTAGAGCATCAGCCGCGTTACTGTTTCTGCTAGGAAGGACAATAGGCATCGAGATATATAAGAGGGCAAAAGAGGGGAGGGGAGGGAGAAACAGGATTTTTTGTGGTGGCGGTGGTTGGTGTAATACTTCACCCCCCCTGTATCCTCCATCTCCCCCTCCTCCTCGTTCTCCTCCCTCCATTCCTCTCCCCCTCTGTGCTGGTCCTATTCTTGAGGACTTGCTTGTGAAACGGGAGAGATAAACAGACATTGAGCGCATATGAAAAAAGACACGGGGAGAGATAGTGTGTTAGAATTTAGGAAATACCTCCCTCCCCTTCCCCCTGTCTATCTCTCCATCTTCACCCCTTGTCTCTTCTTTAATGGATAGAAATTATCCTGGCACAGGATTCGGTGATCTGGGCGCTGGAACGGGATGGAGTTACGAGAGATCGGCGAAGGCAAGGTAAGGCGCCTGTGCAAGTACACTTCTCCCATGCACTGGATGCATAAATATGCTTAGCTGGCTGTAACAATGCCCATGCCGACGGACGCAATGCAATGCATGTTCCCACTCTCGCTCCCAGTGCTGTCTTCATTTGCCACTTCCATGCGTTATATTGTCGCTGGCTCCACGTACAGCCATCCGTATTGTCATTTCTGAGGGAGGAGGGGGTGTCTTGAAAATGCACGGAATGCGATTGAGAGTTAATGCGTGATACGGAAGGTAGACCGAGACAGAAAAGGGGGAGAGGGGCGAAAAGAGGGGGGATGGGATGATGTTGCTAGCTTGCTTGCTAGCGTATTATCAAAAATGAAAAATCAAACCTGCCTTGGAGGCGCACCGAATCGGACATTGCATGCCGTACTTAAATACACGCTAATTCGGCGCAAGTTAGTGAGTAATGCGTGGCACAGAACGCACGTTGACAAAGCGTTATTTTGGAGGCAACCAATTAGAAGCAATCACATATATTTTTGGGGATGAAATGGTCGCTAGCTACTGTATGCCGCTTGTCTCTATAGCTAACACGTATTTGTCTGTAAAATCGACTAGGGTTTATTTTGGAAATGCACATTTTGTGTTAAATCAGAAACAAGAGGTTAGATTTACTTGAACGTTAAATGACTAAACGCAGAGGTGAAGTTCCTTACAGTCAACATGTATTATTCGTTTACACATGTCACAACACGTATATTAAACGCTGTAAGAACAACCTCTGCTACTAATTCATCATAGTATTAAAAAAAACAACCCAAACTTTGCATAGCCTATCATTATCATCTAACGGAGAAATACCATATCTGTTGTTGAGGATACTGTCGTTTTTCTAGTCTCTTGGCAACGTACCAAATAATGTGTGGTGTTCCTCAGTGAAATTACAGCGTGACCGAGACGTGCACACTGTAAACATAAACGTAAGACGCACTGCAAACTTATTAGCAACCCACCAACAGAAAAGACGATCAATAAATACTTACTGCATAATGTTTTTTCTTCTTCTAAATATCCAGACATTTGAAAGAACTAATAAAATGACCTGACAAAGCTTAGGTTTACATTGACTAGCCATTAAATCTCTGCGAGAAAAACTAGGCTTGCTCAAAAGGGTTGATACTTTTAGGAAGTGTTGCATTGCAATATTTAAATAGCGATTAAATATTCTGTTGCTACCTGAAAACTGGACTGTTACGGTGTCGTGCTCTACGTTAGGTACGTGTTTCACTATTTTCGCGGCCTACTTACAGTTCAAAGGCGCGCCTCTATGTACGTTATCAGTCGCCGTGACAACCAAATCAATTTTAGCAGCTTACGCGTGCAATCATTCTTGGTGGCGTTAGTGTCTCGCGTTGCATGTATGGAGTAAGTCGTACACTTGGGTGCACACCTATAGCATACTTTTACCCTATTGTTATATGGGCACGGGAAGTGAAATGTTAAGAAATTGTAATTATTTATGATCATTTAGGTGTATTATGCGATACGGTGGAATCTATGCTACTATTCGTTGTCTTTGCAGACTTTCTATTTAAAAAAAAAAAATCATTCTTTTGTAGGTTGTATTTAATCTTTTTTTTATTTACACCGATGCAAATAAGTTTTGGTGCCTATTTGTTGTCTGTGTCATAATGTGTCAAGAAGTCCTATCATTTGTGCATTGCAACACATGTGGAGTGGCTCCTTTTTTCTTACATGACGGGACAACAATAGGGCTATTCTTTTGAGCAATCACCCCTAGATGTGTGGAAACCCCTATGTGTATGTATGAGGAATTCCAATCACACTCCTAAAACAGGAGATCACAATCAGGAGAAAAGATCACAAATGCTGTGTGTGGTCAGAGTTTTTCTAACACGTAACATTCCCCCGATACTCTGCGAGACTGCATCCCAGTATCTCTGGCTGACTCTTAGCAAGTCTGAAGAGGAATTTGTTCTATATTCTGTCGGAATCTTTAATATTGTGTTTCTGACTCAAGAGCATCTCTGTAGACTCATAGGCAGATTGATAGAATCCGGAATCTTTAATGAGGAGTTAAGGCTTATGATGATGGACAAGCTTCAGTGCTGCTGCTGCAGAGGCTGAAAAGCATCCGCCGAATAAAATGAAATGAAACGCTTTTGTATTGAATCTTCTCTTGTAGTTTTCCGAAAATTGCTTCTGCTTTTGAATGAATATTAGATAGTGAGACGGCTGCTTTGGGTCATTGGAAGCATAGCCATTATGCAATGATGAAACACTGAGAAGTGGAAAATTAGCATAAAATAAAACAAAATGGCACTAGGGTCTGTGTAGGACACCACATTTGGCAATATTGGATCTTATATTAAGAAATGTTGTTGCATGTGTTAATATTAAACGAGAATAAACATATAAAATGATAGCACTGTTGTTTAGCAAGACTTCTGCGCACTGAATCTTGGTTATGAAGGCGACAAAGGCATACTCCATGATGGCAAGGTTCACCAGGCCCTCTGTCCTTCTTAGGGCAGCATTACATCCAGCACACACCTCTGCACGGTTCTAATGGAGATTAATGGCCGTGACTGAGTTCCCCATCAGGCTGTAAACATTTTGCACCTGTTGTGGGGGGGACTGTGTTGAATTACTGCCTGTGTTATTAGGAGCAGTCTAGTACAGTGAATTCAATCAAGCTTTCTAATTCAACCCTTCCCTTTGTTTTTCCGGTTTCCTTCCATTGTTTGTTTTATTTTTCAAGTTTCACCTTTTCCCTATTATTATTTTTCCCTCCATTGTCCAATTATGCTTAATCAGCTCAAGAACATGCACAATGGCAGGAGGTGAGAGGTTTAACAGGATGAATTGATTGACTGAAGGTGTAAGACAGCATGATGGAAAAAAAGTGAGAAAGGAGAGGAAGAAATTACTGGATGTAAAATAGTTGTAGTGTGATCGAAATGTATAAAAAATAAAATAGTACATATATACATGCTTTTTAATATATTAAATTGAATTGAGTCTCTCTATTTTTATTGTAATATCAATCAAATATTATAATATTAAAACAAAGAAAAAGTATTTGTAGGTCACTAATTAAATTAAAAAAGCAAAAATCAATAAGCAAAACTTTTGCTTAGTCCTGCTGTTGTTAAATTCAGCATGAAACAGAAACCATCTTCTCTTCCCTATTGTGACATTCATATCCATGTAAAATGGCTTATCAAATGAATGAGAAAAAATGTTGGACGGGACTTGTTTTTGTCCATTGGTAATTTATTGGATTGGATTGATCATTGTTGTTTTGCTAATTGCTGCGATCTCATATGAGTGACGGGTTGCTGGAGGGAGGAATTATTGTCCAGCCCTCACGCCGGTGCACACGTGATCAGAGAAGAGATCCTATTGTGAGGGGGAGGGGAAGGAAAAGTTCGTGTTTATGATTAAAAATGATGAGTGCATATGAATTTAAAGATGTGCATGGATACATAATTTCTAATAAATGCTGCAATATTCCATAGAAATATAATAAGCAATTATGACATTCTGCATTTCACTTCTAACTCATTATGCTGATGATATAATTTGTAATAAAAAAAATTATATTTAATTAAAATCAAAATAGACTCACGAAGTTGTCTCATACTTTTGAACCCCACTGTTTGTGAATGTACTTCATTTTACCTTATTCTTGTGAAGTTCATCATCTATTCCCTGATCGTCTCTGCGCTGCCTCTTTGGGATTAAGAGCCAATTACTGTCTAATTCTTATCAAACCTCACATTACCTAGAAGTGAAACTGCTTCCTTTGGTTGCACAGAATAATTATTTCTTGTACATGGATCTCACATTTGAAGAGAGAGTACTGATGCTATGATGCATTACTTATTTATGATGATAAGACATTCAGTTGCAGGAGAAACATCTGCTTGTCAGGGTTCATATGTATTTTATTTTTTATTCAAAATGATCATTCATATCCATTTCATAACTTGATGGTCCTTTTTGTTAATGCTATGTGTCACTTTTGCATGGTAGCCTACTACTATGACTAGGGCTGGGTATCGAGTTCGATACTTTTTAGGCACCGACCGTTTTTTTTAGATAATGTAATCTTGTTAAAATTGATTTCATAAAATTGGTATCGAAAAAAGTATCGTTCAGGAACCGGTATCGAAGTCAAGGTATCGGTATCGATATCGAAAATTTTTGAACGATACCCAGCCCTAACTATGACTCGAACAGTATTTAAAGCAGTGACTCGGCTTATCTAAAATGCTTGCCTTGTTCTGCCTAACCTGAAACGATCCCACAAATGAATCGGTATCAAACAGATGCAGCAATGTATCAAAACATCATAAGGGTACTTTTGACATGGCACTGTATATTATGTATTATGCCAGAGGTACAATCAGTGAAGCAGTTGGCAGCCGGGATGTGCGCTCTCACTCATGCATTTAAATGTTTAACCCAGTTCATTAGAGCCTTTATCCAGTTAATTACGTGAGTCTTGTGCCTCCAAGATGAGGGTGTTTTTAAAAGAGATGGACATGCTCCCAGATGGAACCCCCTCAGGATGGACATCAGTTGTCTTTGTCACATTTATTAGGGTCTTTTGAGAGACACGTATTCCGGTGACTATATTGAGCCCGGGAGTCTATTTAATGGAGAATGACAATATAAATCTAGTCTTGCGTCCTGTCGGGACTGAATTGGGAAGTATGTAATGAGAGGCTGTGCATATAGATTGTACAGATTTATTTATTTAATTCTTCGAATACTACACTCGAAGATGTAGGTTTGAATAAGGTCTTTCTTTAATAGGTTTTAAAATAGATTTTCTGGTCCACTCCACTGCTTCTGTTGAATGACACCCACCCCCTCAGCATGCGCTCACTCAATATGTGGTGTCTGTGGCTTCCCACTCTGGTCTCAGTGTGAGAGGGATCTAGACTAACTGAGCTGTACTCACACTAAGAGCCTGTCGAGGATGGAGGGGAGGGTGTTACCAAGGCAATTCAGAGCTTTTATCAATGAGCGCTCTGTGTCTTACCTCAGCAACATCCTAACCGCCATTGTCAACTGAACTGGCCACTCTCTATGAAAGCGAACAACAGAGACAGTCTGCAAAGACTGCAAAAGGCAGTTGATTGGCTGGCAACAGGCAGAGTGGCCAATCAGAATGCTGAGCTACACTCGGTATCATTGCACATCTTGAAGCGTAGCGGTGGTAAATGTGAATTATAATGTGGTCTTGTTTTATCATTCATACGTTGCATATCAATGAGTCAGCATATTTGCCTAATTTATAGATAGAGGAGGCAATATTGAGAATGCTGATAATATATTTGTTGGTGTGATGATTGTTGTAGATCGTGTGTCAAAATCAGATCCTGCTGGCTTTTTGGAAGGAGGATGTGGAAGTGAGTAGGCTGATTAAAGAGCTAATCTTTGTGTGTGGCTATGGTGCGAGGGATAATGCCAAGCTGGGTCAACTGATACTCTATACAGGGATTTAGTATGAGTATAGAGCCCAATAGACTTTTTCACTGTCTGAACAGAAGGGGGAACAATGAAATCCATCCCAATGATACAATACAGTGAGTTATTGTTTGATTTAGTCCTCCAAAATTACTTTTAAATGAAGAAAACAAGTGGTTGATGTTTGAGCAAGTAAAAAGAAACAGGCACACAAAAACATAAAGGTATAATTGGATTGTACAATAATTTGTCTGATTAGAAAATTAAATAATTAGTGATTATTTAATTGGATCATTAGTGGAATTTAATACTTGCACCCTTTATTTTTAAATTGATCAAATATACATTACAAAACACCTATTTAAATGAGCCACAAACAGTGAACCAATTCAGTGGTATAATCAAAATTCATTCCCAGCGCAAATAGATTTTATTCAATTTTATTGCCTTATTCAAAATTCTGACCATATGAGTGTTATAATATTTTAATGTTTAAGCAGTATTTGACCATTTACTTCGTAAACATTTACTTCCCTTATGTATGTATTATGCGCTGGCCAATTAGGACGGTGAGGTTGTGTCAGATGCTCAAATTTTACATTATGCATGAGAATGTAAACAATTACTCTGTTATTATGTCTGTTTCTCTAACATTCCCTCTGTCATTTACCTCTTTTTGAATCCTCTGTTTTTCAGTTTGGTTTATGGGAGCTCCAGATCCTCCCATCCAGACTCAGAACTCCTCCACCGTCAAGCTTATGCCACACCACACCCCCTGCAAGGATATGCAACAAATCATCATCCAGGCACCTCTGGACAAGGCGGAGCATGGGGCACAGGAAGGAGCTTAGGTACGGTCGACAAAATTAAGTAGTTAATTCCTGGGAAACCTCTGTTGTTTTGCCCAGCTTGTTTGAGTATAATGGTGATAGCGCATACAAACACATTTCTTCAGAAATTGCTTTGATTTAACACTGCACTGTTAGACTTTATTTTAATAATCAACTTTCACAGGGCTCTCAGGCTTGTTTGATACTGGACTACATCATGCCAGTCCCTCAGGACCAGATGCTTCAGTTATGAACTTGATCTCTGCTTTGGAATCCCGAGGTGCTCAGCCACCCCCCTCTGCCTCTTCCCTTCTCTCCCAATTTCGCACCCCCTCTTGGCAAACTGGTTAGTGTTGTGAGTTATTGAATAGAGAATTATCTAATTATAAACACAGAAATATATCATGAAATAAATATATAGAATCACCTTACTAACTGCTGAATCATTTTCTTTTTCCTTTGCTTTCTCTCTCTGTTGCTGTAGCAATGCACACTCCAGCCCCTGCAGAGCTATTCATTTCTGGTGCACTACCTGGCTCTGGCTCATTTCCCTCTTCCTCTGCTCTGTCGGCATATCAGCACCCTGCATCCTTCTCAGGGCGCTCCTTCCCTGGAGTGACCCCATCATTATCTCTGCAGGACACGCCTACCTTCAGTCCTACTTCCAACGGTCTCCTGTCACCACATGATCCTTTGCTACACATTAAAACACCCTCCCAGTCAAGTCTTGGCTTTGACCGTCTTCTGTCTTCACAGAGTGGGACTGCTTCATATAGAGGGCCACAAGAGCCCACTAGTGCTCCTCCACCACAAGCACCTGCATCCTCCTCAACACGCCATTTACCGCCTCAGTTTAACCTGCTGTCCTCACAACTGCAGGATCAGTCCTCTCAACTCTACAATTCCTCTGTTTTTTCTTCTGTACTCCCTCAACCGCCACAGTCCCAGGAAAGAGCCATCCCTAGGCAAGACAGTGTGATCAAGCACTACCAGAGACCTTCTCCTGGACAGTCTCAACTATCCTCTTCCACACCTCATCCCCTACAACACTATCTTAGTTGTGGTGCATCAGGATACCAGCAGATATCCCATCATCGGCATGGTTCCTCCATAAACTGTAGCCCACTGGGTGAACCGAGCCCATCATCTGACCCCAAACCCTCTCCCCGATCAGAGCAGGTATATCGTCCTATTATCCAGCCCCCGTACACCTCCTCCTCAGCTGGCTCGGGTGGTGGTATTGGGAAAACAGGAAAGAGTTCCAGTTCAAGTAGTGGCTATTCTTCCTCTGGCTCTTCCTCATCTCGAACCCCTCACACTCCTCCTTCAGCTTCTTCCACCTCCTCTTCTTCCTCCTCTGCCTCTAATCCTAATGTTTCATCCAGTACCTCCTCTGCACCCTCAAGGCAGCAACCACAACCCCAGTCAGCACCACAACCCCCGCCACCTCCACCACCAACAGTGTCATCCTCTGCTACGCAGCAGCAGCCACCCAAACCTTGCCTGTCTACATATGGCTCTCCAGTTGCTCCTGTCAAGCCAACTGCTGGCCTTCCTGGTCAGACCCCACCACAGCAGCAGTCATATTCACCAAGCCAGCCACCCACCTCTCACTTGCCCCAGACATATGGAGGATTCAGTTCTCCACAGGCTCAGGATCTTGGTTCCAGCCATGGGGGGTCAGGAAAAGCTTATGGAAATCTTGGCGCTACGGGGCGTTCATTTTCAGCTGAGGTGGTTTATGGTTCTGATTCAGGATATGGTTCTTTGCCACCATCTCTCGGAGGGGCAGGGAGTCCCTCAATGGGCTATGGCGGTACAGGACATTCACCTGCACTAATGGTGTCTGGAGGTGGTACCGGTACAACAAGCAGTACCACGGGATCTGGAGCAGGTAGTTCAGGAAGTGTGGGGGGTGGTTCAGGTGGTGGTAGTGCTAGTGTAGCAAGTGGTGGAGGATCATACCACCTCCCGGATTCCAGCCCTTCACCGTCAAGTAATTCTGGAATAATTCACCCAGGTCTGCACTCTCCTGCCCCAACTTGCCCTGCACAATCACCTGGAGGAAATGGGGGCAACAAGTACCTATCCTCAGTTCTTTCCCCAGCATTCCTGGCTTCTCCACAAGGATACTCAGACACAAGGGTGCCACCCCAGCAAACACAGTCTTATCACACAACGCCGCCAAAATCTAAGTCTGATTCTGATATGCTTGGGGTAGAAAGATCTCAAGAAGAGGATGAAGAAGATGAGGATGACTTTTTGATTCAGCACTTACTGCACTCACAGAGTCCAGCACCCAATCCCTCCCAGCATCATTCTCAACAAGCTCAGCAAGTAGCCTCACAACAACCGCAGTCCCAGTCCATTTCCCAGAGTAGAGATGGAGGGAAATCTCTCTCTGCATATGAACTGAACAAGGCATCTGAAGAACGTTATCATCTACAGAGTGTCATTCGGACCAATAATACCACCAACAATGTGGCTTCAGTTGCTGCTGGCTCTTGTGGTCCAGGCACAGGTTTAGAGAACCAGTTGGAGATGTCTCTGAAAAAGCAGCAGCAGACTAAGTCTGATCGAGTGCTTGCTGGATCTGGTGCAACTGGAGGTCGAGGTGCAGTTGACTCTTTGTCTCATACTCATTCCCATGGTCAACATGACTCCCTAGGTTCAGTGGTCCACTATGGCAGAGGAGACCCTTACGCTCATCAAACACATCAACATCACCCTCCTCACCCATCGCACTCGCAACACCCTCAGCATTCACAGCACTCTCACCCCCATTCAATGTCCCACTCACATATAGATCTTAAGAAAGCTCAGGATCCTTCAGAATTACCCTACCTACGAAAGACTCCAGACTTGCAGCAGCGACAGACCCAGTCCTCCCTTGGACTAATGGATTCTCCACCCGACCCATCTCAGCAAACCTCCCAGGCTCACCTTCTCCAGTCTGTCCTTTCACATACCACTCGAAACAAGATGGACAACCAACAGACTCCCTCACAGCAACAACAACAACAACACCCAATGAGTCAACAAGCCATGATTGGACCAAATGGAGTATTAGGTACTGGTGGCTCTGGAGGAGTAGACACACAGCCACAGGCCTCTCAACTTCAACTCCAGCTCCAGTCCCAAACTATGGAGGTCCACTATGGACGTGAGGCTCAGCAAAACCAAAGCCAGTCAAGTCAGAATTCTGTTTCACCACTAGACATGCTAGAGAGATCTCTCTCCAGGACAAACAGTGTGGAAGGGCCAGGGTCCACTGATAGAGTTGGTGCAGGAGATGCGAGCACAGCTGATCATCATAGACAACAGCAACAACATAGGATGTCCTCACACCATCAATCCCACCACTCTCAACAACCAGCAGCAGAGCTTGATTTCTTGTCCGAGTCTGATTTGAGCATGTCAACCCCCTCTCATTTGCATCTTATGGCCTCACACCATCCACCCCCTCATTCCCTCCATCAACCACAGGCACACTCTCACCATCAACATCCTCACCAGCACCCTCACCACATGCAACTAGCTTCTGGACCTCCACAGCCCCAGTCACAGCCCAGGGAACAAGAGCCACAGCTCTCACAGCCACAGCTGGATCAGCTCAAAGAGCATCAATATGACACTGGTAGCCCTGTGGGAAAAACAGCTCAGAACCAGGGTCAGAGCCAAGAGCAGCAACAACGGTTCATGCCACTGACATCTATTTGTTTCCCAGATTCTCTTCTCCAAGATGAGGATCGTTCCTTTTTTCCAGGGATGGAGGATATGTTCTGCTCTGAGGACTACAAGGCAAGTTGTGCTGGAGGAGGTGGAAGTGTAGGACAAGGGGGTCAGGATGGTGTGCCAGAGGCACGTGGAACAGTACAAGATGGAATGGATGCAGTTAAAGCTACAGGTGGTGGAGGTGCATATGACATGATGGGTCATCATGGTGATCAGGAGTATGGGCAGTATTGTCACAGTTTGTCTGAATCTGGCAATGGTACTATGCACTTAGATCTGGACCCCTTGAAATCCCATGAACTCCCATCCACTGTAAACACAGAACAACTAGGCTTAATTCAGTCTCAGGGCCCAGGCCTTGGGATGGGCAGCACGGGACACGTAGTGGACGGAACTGGAAACAAAATGATGGGCTCTGCAGGTGTAGGTAGTGGTCCTGGCACAGCAGGGCTCACCTCACCAATCTTTTGTTCCTCTAGACCTAAAAAACTTTTGAAAACAAGCTCATTTCACCTCCTTAAACAGCGGAAAGACCCTAATGCCCAATCACAGGCTAAGAAGAACTATGCTCAAGAATATGAATTTGAGGATGACGAGGATAAAGCAGATGTTCCAGCTGACATCCGCTTAAACAGCAGACGTCTGCCTGACTTGCTTCCTGATCTCGTTTCCAGTTGCAGAAAGTCTGGAAGTGGTTCAGGAGTTGGCAGTTTAAGCCCTTTGATGGGTGATTTAGATTTCTGCCACCCCTCAGGGTACCCATCCCTTGGACCTCCTCCACAGCTGCTCCCACATGATGGCACAAAGAAAAGGGGGAGGAAACCCACCAAACCTAAACGTGAAGGTCCACCAAGACCCAGGGGTAGGCCACGTATTCGGCCTCTCCCCGAGCCTCCTTATTGCAGGAACATGATGGGACCTGGTGGAGAGAGTAAAAGGGGCCGTGGGCGAGGAAGAGGGCGTGGAAGGAAAGATGATCAAATGCTAGAAATGCACAGAGACATGAACAAGGGGCAGAATTACCAACAACAAGCACCTCACCTCCATCATCAACCACAGTTACAACAGCACATGCACCACCATCTACAGCAACAACAGCAACACCAACCACAACATATGCACCAACAGCAGCACCTACATGTACAACAACTTCATCAACAGCAACACCATCAACAACTTGCACAGCATCAGCCTCAGCAACAATACCAGGAACCCATCAAACCAATCAAAGTAAGTTAAGGGTTATGATTTGCACCAATGGGAAGAATTATGTTTGTGGGAATGATGGATCAATGAAACTGTGACAAGTGTAAAAGCATGTGTTGATTAAAAAAATAAGTAATTACTTAATTGTTTTCCTACCAGATTAAGCTCCCTATTCCTTCCATGCCCTCATCTGACTCCCTACTGAGGACAGACTCCCTGTCTAGTACAGATCCAGTTTTGTCTGATGGTTCGGTAGGATCTGCACCATCTCTTGGTTTGAGTCCAGGGCCCACTACCATTGTGGACATGAACAGAATTGACATGAATAGAAATGATATGAGCTGTGGTCAGGAAAAGATGAAGCAGAAACCCCAAGAGGTGAGTCTCAGCTTGCAAAAAAGTTTAGTGAATGTTGAAATTTAACAGAAAATATTAAAATAACTCCAGATGTTCTATGTAAAATGTAGAGCAAATGGCAATTCTGTGGTTTGCATTTTAGGATATTATTTGTTGCAATATCTGTACCCTTTCATAATTCTTAGAAAGATAAATTGGTGTCTTTAAAGGGGTCATATGATGTTGCTAAAAAGAATATTATTTTGTGTATTTGGTGTAATGAAATGTGTTTATGCGGTTTAAGGTTCAAAAAACACATTTGTTATGCAAATCTTCCCACATAGTGACGTAGACATGTGGGGGCATGTTAGAACTAGCCATTTTAGGTAGGCGTGACTGACTCTTACCTTTTATAAAGAATATCTCTTTGGATTTGAGACTTTAGTCTTTGCAACTTTACAGATCTTCTTTATGCACCAAGAGCTTGTAACACTCCAAAGAGAAAGGAAAAATTGAAATCGCATCATATGACCCCTTTAAAATTTAGCATAAAGATGCACCATAAAATCAGTTCTGACAACCTCACTTTTTGCAACCTATGTGTCCAAAAACATAACAAACAATGTGCTTGTTCATATTGGGTCTTTTTGATGTCCTCAAATGACCTGTAGATTTAGAGCAAAGTTTAGTGGAGGAGGTGCGTTTAGAGGAGGTCAAATATTTTGTGGAAGACCTGCCAGGCCTTGTTGGCAGCTGTGATAGATTAATTTTACCAAAGCAAAATGCTTTGCTAAATTTGTTCTTTGTAGTTGAAACTGTTCTTTTCTTTTCTTAAAAGAGTCTTAGGGGGCCTTTTAATTTTTTTTTTATAAATATAAAAAGCATATTTATAGTCATTTTTGTTAGCCGTGCATTGCAATGTTCGACAATATTATTCAGCAGTAGAAGGGATTGGTGGGAAGCACTGTGTGAAATCCGTTATGATTTATGCAAATGCAAAAGGATTGTCACTTACTGAGGCAGCGACCAAGCTCACTATGAGTAGATGATCAGCAACCGGAGTAGGATCTTTCAAAATACAGAAAAATATAGATGATGATAAAATTGTTTGACATAATTTGAAAACTATACACGTCAAAGTCACAAATGTTTTGTCCTGAATGGGGAAAGTAAACATCTACTGTAACATTATGAAATGTTGTCAGACCAAAAGCATGAAGATTAAATAACTCAACCAACATTTTACAGCCTTAATCAATTTTATGCCCTCCTCCATATGTTTAAATTGCACTTATGAAATGTCCTCTGTTACCTCAGCAACAAGTAGCCTCAGGAAAGAAGGGTGGAAGTGCCAGTCTAGGGTGTTATGTGTAGATATGTGCAGTTTCTTTATGTATGTATGTGCAATGTTTATGATTTATGTATCTGCAGATGTCCTGGGATGGAGACATGGATGACCAAATGACCCCAGAGGCCTGGGCTACCATGCAGAAGCTTTCCGGCTCAGTAAGACTTCAACTCTTATTCTATATCCATTTTCCAGGTGTAATTCTGATAGAAAAGAATAACCCACTCATATTTTGACCCAAAAGACCCATTACTAAATTATACATAAAATGCATTTGGATTTCTTTCACACTCAATTATTTTACAGAGGAAGCATTGTTCTCAGTGTATGCACTTTGCCACTAGAGGGAGCAAACTACATAGACTAAGATGATTGGCAGGCCACCCTGAGTTCTTAAAAAATGCAATAAAAGAAAGGGAGAGCGCTGTTGCTAGGGTGGCTGTTGCTAAGGTTACTGATTCATAGTAACAGTCATCAACCACCCTGCTGTTCAGTAAGGTGTTTTTCCGTCTTCTTGACACATAAGAGAGTGGGACTACAGAGATTATATAATATAAAGATGTTAATCGAAAAAGTACTTTTTATTACAATTTGTCATTTATTTATAAGCTGTTTTCTGGTTATTCTTTATTTTTCTTTCCCTTCTTTAATATATTTGCCTTCTGCGTAAACATTTCAATGCTGTTTGACTCTTATTGCTTGTATTTTGCCATCTTTCATTGCTCTGCACCTCTTGCTCGCAGACGGAGGAGAAATCTTCAGAGCTGAAGTCAGGTTTTATAACTTCCTTTCTGGATTTCTTGAAAACGGGGAAGAAGCAGCTGGGCACTGAAGCTCCACCTGTGGATGGGTGCACTTCCACAGATTCCTCTTCAGTAAAGGGAGGCATCCGCCCATTATCCCCACAACCACCTCCTCCTCCACCTCCCCCCTTTGGAGAGAACGAGAGTGATGGAAGCCTGGGTCTCAGTAACTGTCCCTCCCCCTGTAAAAGACTTGACGAGGAGCTCAAGAGGAACCTGGAGACCCTGCCGTCGTTCTCCTCAGACGAGGAAGACTCGGTCAGTAAGAACCAGGACCTGCAGAAGAGCATCTCATCCGCCATTTCTGCTCTCTATGACACGGCCCACAGTCTCGCTGCCATTCCACCTCCTCCTACGCCATCGCCGCCCACTCCGCAGACGGTGTCTCTTAACACACCCCCTCCACCCCCACAACCTGAATCTGTCCTGCTCACTGAACCTGAGATGGAGATAAACACGTCACAGGAGCTGGATTCGCTCTCACGGCCCAACCTGCAGGAGGAGGCACATGTTCCAGGCAAGGGTGAGGAACGGGAAGAACCTGTGCAGGAGGTACATGAAGACATACAGCAGAAAGAAGACAGACAGACTGAATGTGAGGAGTTGGAAGAAGACATAAGGGCGAAGGAGGAAGCTGATCAGATAAGGACAGAGGAGAGCAAGCCGGAAGAAGAAGAAGAAGTAGAAGAGCCAGAGTATGAAATGCTGGGTGCTCCCAAGGTTGATGGTGAGTATAGTAACATATCTACAGTGAGATATTACAATCAGTGAAACATTAATTATTTCCTTCTTTCCTTAACCGTATCCCGTTTTAGGATCTCCATCCGAGCTTCCCCTTGCACCCCCTTCTCCTCCATCTCTTTCTCCTTCTCCCCCAGCCTCCTCCTCCCCATCCCCTCTGCCTCCTCCTCCTCTGTCTCTCCCCTCCCCTCTCCCATCTCAAGAAGAGGAGCAGCAGCAACAGCCACCACTGCATAATTCCCTGCCTCCCAGCCCTTCTCCACCTGCTCTCCCCTCT